TTGAAGTGTTGTTCAAAAACCCTTCAAAAACTATATAGTTGAGGGTTTTCAAGACACTCACAACTGGATGAAGAAGAGCATTTTTTGGAAACTTCCATATTAGCAAAATAATCTTGTTAGACATAATCTTAATGTAATGCACTGTGAGAAAAACTTCTTTAATAATATAATTCACACTATCATGGATGACAGTATGGCAAAAGACAATAGGAATGCAACACTGGACTTAGCAATTTATTGTGACTAGGAAAAACTTGACATGGGTTATGATAAACATGGTAAGCTTATGAAGCCTTATGTCCCTTGTGCACTTATCACATAAAAGCAAAAGCTTCTATATGCATGGTTGAAACAATTGTACTTCTTAGATGGATATACTTCTAACATATCAAGATAAGTCAACTTAAATGAGTCCAAGTAATTCAAGGTGAAAAGTTATGATTGTCATGTGTTCATACAAAGATTAATTCCAATTGCTTTCGCAATCTATTACTAGTTGCCATATGGGTTTTTTGACCAAAATTAATAACTTCTTTTGTTCACCTTATTCTATGGTCATTAGACGTAATGAGATGTAGATGTGGAAAGCAAAAATTGTTAAAATAATTTATAAGTTAGAGACAATATTTGCCCTTGCATTCTTTGATTTTATAGAGCAACTAGCAATTCATCACACATATAAGGCCAGATGTAGTAGTCCTGTTAGATCCTTATTTAGATATGGGCTCAAATGCAATAATATTGGAACTCAGATGAATTAAAAGTGTTGAGTGAAAGGGAAGCAAAGAATAAGGAGCCTGGGGATAGGGTGACTAACACTACTAGGTCAATGAGGTTTGACATTCATTAGCTGAAGATTGTAAGCATCATTAATATAAAAAATAAATATATTACACATTTTTAACTCGAAATTATGAGTTGTATTATACTAACCTAAATATTGTAATGTAAATTTCTTGAAAAATAGTAGAATCCAAAGGTAGTGTGGAGCCTCCTCATTAAGAGAAATACAATGAAACTAGGGGTGGGTGTTGGGCGGTTTCGGTTACAACCGCAACCAAGATGCTGGTTAATCAAGATGTCGGTTTCTTAATTTTAGAACCTAAAAACCACACTCAAATGTTTTAATTTTTACAGTTTCGATTGTTTCGGTCTCGGTTGTTTTAGTTTCAGTTTCGATTTTCAACCACTATTCAAAATGGCTTATCGATGGTAGAGATGCAAGCTACATATCGGAGATGAGGGAAGAATGATGAGAGAATCTAGCATGAGAAAGCCAATGGAAGGAGGAGATCGCAACTACAACAATGGAGAAGAGAGAAGAAAAAATCACTAAGTGATTCTTTGTTTCTAGATCTAGAAAAAAAAAAAAAAAGAATGAAATCAAGAGAAGAAACTAATAGGAATGAACTATTAGAGACGTAGAACAGATTTTCTCTATTGAGGAGAGGAGGGAGAGTTAAAGAAAATGGGTTTGAGTGAAGTGGAAGGAGAAGGAGGAGAATTGGAGAAATTTTGCAGTACCATCGGTGGGGAAATCTTGCATGGAAAAACGTAAAAGACTAAAAAATTATATAAAAGTATTCAAAACATAAATACAAAAAATAAAAAAGGGTTGGACTTTTCGGTTTTTCGGGCTACTCATGCGGTTGTCAGTTCTTGGGCTTAGGAACCGACAATCGCCCACCTGGGCTCTCGGTTGCAATTGCAATTGAGGCCCAGCCCAACCGAAAGCCAAAAAAGCCCGACCCGTCAGTTGCAGTTGCGGGTGGGCACCATTTTTTTTACGATTTCGGGCCCAAATGCCCAGCCCTAAATGAAACACACACCTTTAGAAAGAAGGTGCCAAAGGGTCAAGAGCTACCATGAATAAATGAAAAAGCAGAACAGTGACATGTAAGTAGATATAATATAAATATATATGCTATCTTAACATTTGTGATTAAAAATGAATAAAAATTTGATTTAATTGATTAAAATTATTTAGCAAAGTGGGTTATGTCTTATACATTGTTTTCTAGTTAGCTTGTAAAATAATAATAATTATTATTATTATTATTATTATTATGAGTGATGCTATGAGGACCAATTAGTCCCCAAGCCAATTGATCCCTAAGTTGATTGGAGCCTATAGCTATTTTGTTGTTTAAGATATAATAACTTTTAATTTTTATTTTTATTAATTCTTTTAATTTTTATTTTTTAGTTATTAAGTCTCAAATTTAAGTATTGAACCCCAAAAACTAATAATATAAACCCTAACCTTAAAAATCTAAACCTTAACATCTAAATTCTAAATCCTAACATACACTTTAAACTTTTAAGTCTAAAAAATTTATATCCTAACACCTTAAATGTTAGTAAACTTTAAAAAATCTAAATCCTAACACCCTAAATATTGAAATTTAAAATAATCTAAAACCCTAACATGTTAAAAACTAATTTTTAGTTTTAAGTTTGAAAACTAAAAAGTAGTTCAAAAAATTGAGGGACTAAAAAAGTTTAAATTGTTAAATTAAGTGACCAGCTCTTAGTTTAACCATAACAAAGGCAAAAGAAATTAATGGAGGTGGGGTGCCACGTACCACTCGCCTCAATTGATCTAAAAGATCGTCAGCCTCCTGATAATTATCCTATTATTATTATTATTATTATTATTATTATTATTATTATTATTATTTGTTTTCAGG